TGATCTTAAAAGCATTTATTACCCTTGTAAAGACTTGGTAAGTATTCATACTATTTTCTGTTTTTTATCTGTGATCTGTTTTTTGTTTGGCTAATTTATTTGAGATTGATATATCAGTTTCCTCTTTGTCATCAACTTGATGAATGGATGTTGAAACAAAAATGCACCTCGGGACTGGTAACACTTCTTTCCATTAGCTTCCGTTGTTTTTAGACAACATTGGACATGCTGTGCATGAACAACTAACAAGCACAGCTTCACTGACAGTAACAAATTATGGACCATACAATATCTGGAAGACCAGCTTTGAAGAAGCTCTCCCCAAGAGTGTACACTTTTCAAATTTCTTAATTCCTGTAGAATGGGGTTTGGAACAGAACGTAGTGTGGTGGCTGAAACATAGAATTTAAATTCCAAATACTATTAATTAGCTTCTTAAGTTCTCAGGTAAACTAGTTGGAGTTTTAAGTTTTTTCTTCTATGAAATGGGATTATATTCCTACTTCTCAGGTACTGAAAGTTAAACAAGGAGTAGACATAGCTCAGCACTTCATAAAGAGTAAATACAGAAGTCGTTCTAGCAATAAGTCCTATATTAATTTGGAATGAAAATGACTCCAATAACTTTACCTCCTTGTCTCTCTACATGCACTTTATGTTTTAATACATAAAACATTCTTCTAATGTTTTTCAATGTAATTTGGGAACTGCTGTAATTAAAGTTTTCAAATATCTTTTCTGTGACATTAAATCTTCCTGAATCTTTGTGAAAGCTCAAAGAAAAAGACAGTCAGTTGACTAACTACTTGGAATTAATATTTCAAATTTTTCCCTGAAGATTATGTTGCTCTCATTGGACTCCTTGCCAGTATTTCAAACATGACCCTTACTATAATAAATGTAGCTATAAAAGGATGTGGAATTGTATATTATTGGCCAAAAAAGGTTCATAGATTTAAAATTTCCCCCTACTTCTTTGCAATGTATTACGATATTAATTTGTCATTAATAAAGAATACGAGTTTTTCAAATAAGTCTTTTAAAATAAGTTTTTCAAATAAGCCTAAATATATGAATGCCTTCCATTTTATGTGCCAAAATTATCTTTTAAGGCCTCCCTTTTAAAAAAGTAAAATTGCTAAAATTTTTTATTAATCTCTTATGTGCTATAGAGCATTCTGATGAGAAAGTAACATTTTTATTAAAAGTATTTAGTAAATATTAACTAAATATTAACAACTATGCTTTGTACTCTTCTGTATGAATACCACTGTTGTTGGTATGTACCACTGAGTCTGAACCAACCCATAGCTGACCCTCCAGTGGGTTTTCAAAGGTAGCAAATTGCATGGGAAGGGATTGCCCATCTTTCTCCCTCCGCACTGGGCCACCAGTGCCATTAGGAGCGGTTTTTAAGTGAGACTCTGCTGCTGTGTAAGTAACTCAGTTTATTCTACTTGAATCTTTTTTTCTTTCCTGGTTTTAGATATTGTTGTTCTTTTTGCTTCCACTGTTGATTGCTACTGGTTGGTTGTTGCATTTGACTTTGTTGTTATTGTTCCAGTTGCTATGTACCACCGGTCACCAGCGACTCATAGAGACCCTATACATAACAGCCCTAAACTTTTCTGTATCCTGTGCCAATCTTGCTGTTTTTGACACACCTACCCCCATTACCGCAGTCAATGCATCAATCCATCTCATCAAGGGTCTTCCTCTCTTATACTGTCCCTCCACCTTTCCAACCATGACGTCCTTCTCCAAAGACTGGTCCCTCCTTGCAACATGTCCACAGTATGTCAGACTAAGCTTTAGAATCCTTGCCTCGAAGAAGCAGCCTGCTTTCACCCTCTCTAAGGTAAATCTGTTTATTCTTCTAACAGTCCATAATATATTCAGTACTCTTCTACAGCACCACAGCTCTTCAGTACTTTGCAGAGGTCTTTGAGAGCATATGTATGTCCAAAGTCATCAGAACAGAGCGAGGAAACACTGCATGGTTCAAAATTGAGAAGAGTATACACCAGGGATGTGTCCTGTCTCCATACCTTTTCAATCTATATGCAAAACAGATTATCCGGGAAGCTGGGCTCTATGAGGAGAAATGTGATATCGGAATTGAAGGTATCCTCATCAGCAATCTGCGTTCTACAGATGACACAACCCTGCTTGCTGAAACTGAGGAGGACCTGAAGGGCTTGCTGCAGAGGGTCAAGGACTGCAGCCTTCAATATGGATTGATTGTCAACATCAAGAGCCACTGGAATGCTTGGCAGCATTATGACAGATGGCGAAGAGATTGAGATTTTTAACAGTTTAGGTTTGCTTGACTCCATAATCAGCACTCATGGTATAAGCAGCCCGGAAATTAAAAGATGAATTGCATTGGGAAAGTGTGCTGTGAAAGTGACCTCTCCAATGTACTGAAGAGCAACAATGTCAGTCTGGGGACTAAGGTGTGTCTTATCCAGGCCATGGTGTCCCCAATTACTTCCTATGCATCAGAAAGCTGGACAGTGACTAGGGATGATAGAAGGAGAATTGATGCCTTTTAGCAGTGGTGTTGGAGAAGAGTAGTGACTGTAGTATGAACTGCTAACAGAACAAACAGGTTCATCCTAGAAATGGTAAAACCAGGCTCCTCCTTGAAGGGAAGTTTTCTGAAGCTTCATCTGACATTCTTTGGACACATCGCAAGGTAGGATCAGTTCTTGGAGAGGGACCTCATGCTTGAATGGTTGGAGGAACTGCAAGAGAGGAAGACCCTCAATAAGGTGAATTGATTCAGTTACTGAGGTAATAGGGATCGGTGTGTCAGAGATAATAAGATTGGCACAGGATAGAGCAGGGTATAGGGCTGTTGTACATAGGATCCCTTGTTACTCCATCTCCCTTGAGAGCCTTTCTAATACAGAATCCTCTCTCTTCTTACTGCTTTTGATTCAAGGGATGAGAGGATCAGAGTGCAGCCAACTTAATTACTGATTCTTTAAATGATTCTTGGCTTTTGAGAATGAATAAATGAATTTCTATGCACTTTTCAGAATTTTTTAAAGGAGTGGAAACCCTTGGTAAAAAAATGAGGAATTTTTTTAGGGTGTGCAAAGGTTTGGTAAGCAAATAGGATTAGGGTGGAGTGTTCAGGGAAAAGCAGTAAAACAATCTGAGTCCTTCAGACTTCCAATAAAAGGTCATTTGGCTAGTTATGACTCTGAAGTGAAACTTGATGTATCCAGCATTTACCAAAGGAAAGAGAAAGCGGTAATAATTTGGTGATTTCTGTGTGCCCGCCCCTTCCCAGTCCTCTGTGGAGGACAAACATGGGACTTGTCCTGTGCAGAGTCCCTATTCTCTGGTATCCTGGGGTCTAGAGACTGTGTTCTACTGTCCCTGGTTTTCCCTCTCACCAGTAGCTTGTGGGCACAGTTGTACCTGTAAGTCCCTGATGGAGAGCCACTTTAAAGTACTCCCTGTTGAAAATTGCTCAGGGTCCGTCTTATTTGAACCTAGTCTTTTATAATTTGCCATTCTCCTTTAAAATTCCTGAAACCACTCAAATATTTGTTAAATATGTTGTTGTTGTTGTTGGTATGTGCCATCAAGTTGCCTGCAACTCCCTGCGACCCTTTGTGCAACAGCCCCAAACCCTGCTCTATCCTGTGCCACTCTTACTGTCTCTGACACAACTACCGCCATTACCCTAGTCACTGAGTCAATCCATCTCATTGAAGATCTTCCTCTCTTACACTGTCCCTCCACCCTCCTACGCGTGATGTACCGCTCTAAGAACTGGACCCTCCTTGTAACATGTTCACAGCATATCAGACAAAGCTTCAGAGTCTTTGCCTCCAAGGAGCAACCTGGTATCACCCTCTCTAGGACAAATCTGTTTGTTCTTCTAGCAGTCCATGGTATATTCAGTATTCTTCTCCAGCATCACAGCTCAAAGGCATCAATTCTCTTTCTGTCATCCCTAGTTATTGTCCAGCTTCTTGATTCATAGCAAGTAATTGCAAAGAGTATGGCCTGGATCAGGGGCACCATATGCTCCAGACTAACATAGACCCTGTGCACAATGGAGCACACTTAGACCGGCAGATACGGCAACTGAGGCTGAGCCCTCAAGTATGTAAAGTACTATACATGTTGGGTTTTTTTCTAAAACATTTGATGATTTCTGTTGATATTTAGTCAGCTGGACGTTTTAAGTTCTGATTGTATTGCTACTGAAGAGAATCATTGCCGCTCTTCTTCATTCAAAAGGTGTTACAACAAATAGAATTCAACTGTGAGTCTCAGCTTGATGATTTTTTTATTAAAGTGAATTCCTTTAGCTGTCACTTTGAATTGCAATAACAACTAACTGGCATAAATAATGACACTGGAAACTTGATTAAACAGTATTCCAATAATACCCAGTTGGTTTGGATCTTAGGCCTCTGACTTTTCTTAGCCTGGGAAGAATTGTTCAAGCTTTCCAAATCTGCTTCCTCATCTCTTAACAATAATAGCAACCTCACAGGATTTTTAGAAGATAAGTATTTATTACAAACTTGGCAAATATGATACACACATAAATAATACAACTTTCAAGCTTGGTAATTAGTACAAGTTTAACATTAGTAAACTTCATATTTTATAATTTGAAGAAATAGGAAAAAATTGCTTATGAAATTGATGATTCTCATAGTATTTTCTACACTAGCAGCTAATAACCGAGAGATAGCGTAAAATAATGGGTGAAAGCGTGCACACTGGGTTCAAATCCCAGCTCCACCAGTTACTACTACCACGCTGAAAAGGTCCAGGCTCCTGAAAACCTTTGTGTATCACTTTCCTCTTCTGCAAAGTAGACATAACAATGGCTCATTCCTCCTGGAGGTGCTAATCGGATAAGATGGAGGCATAGAGAGTTTAGAACAGTAGCTAAGACTTAAATAGTTGTTATTATTAATCAGATGTTGAGCAAGCTACTAATTTTATATTTTGTTACTTTTTAGGTGAATCTTGGAAGCAATCAGTACCTTTTCTCTGTCGTTGTGGATCCTAAAGAAATGCCCTGCTTCTGTTTGCGCCATGATGTAGATGCCCTTCTCTGGCAGCCACACTCCAGCAAACCAGACGACATGTGGGAGCACATTGCAACATTCAATGCTTTAGGTACAGAACAAGCCCTCTGACAGCATCTTTATTATATCAGAAATTACAGTCATCACTTCTTTAAAAGTTCATTTCTCTTTTTTCTTTTTAACATTTGAGCTGTCCTAGTTACACATTTGGATTGATTTATGCTGTAATTTGGTTGCTGGTACTCTAGGAGATGAATGTTACTCTGTTGGAATAATCAGACTAATCTGTGTTTGTGCTTGTGGAGAAGTTCAACTCAGAATAGAAATCAAAGTGTTTATCTAACCAGTTAACTCCTTTTACTCTTTCATTTGTTCATTCTGAGTTAGGTGTATATAATTTTCAATATGAACAAGGATTGGGCAGTACTCTATGGCACTAATGTTCAGGTTTTGATGGGGAGAGTCATTTTAATGAAAATGAGTATCAGAACATGCTGATAAGCAGAAGTTAAATTTATTCTATAAGATATGAGGGAAAATACTAATGTCAAAATCAGGGCTTGAAAACTATTTCACACTACGTAATTATAGATGTATACAATATTTAATTTTATGTCAAAATACATCAGTATTATGTGGAGAATTTTTTAAATGGGCATTAGCAACAGATATTGTATTCCTGAAAGGTTATTTTAAACTAGTGGCATATAGTAAAATTATGCATTTTAATGGCTGTATATGCTCAACGCTAATTAAAGGAGGCTTTTAAAATTATGTATTGCAATTTAATAAGAGTTTGTTAAACTGAATCCAAATGGATTTTTGTGACCTGAAATACAAAGCTTGATTTAAGAATTTAACCACATAATTTCAAGTGTCTATTGTGATTGTTATATGCCATCAAGTTGCCTGCAACTCCCAGCGACCCTTTGTGCCCTAAACCCCGCTCTATCCTGTGCCAATCTTACTGTTTATGACACACTTATCCCCATTACCTCCGTCAATGAATCAGTCCTTATAGAAACTATAATTTAAATGTCTGATTCAAATAATGTAATTTTCTTTTTTTTATAAAAAAGTTTCCTTTTCTTTAATAAAAAAGAAAATTGTGCTATATAATTTTTACATACACAAATCTAACATTTATATCCTCGGATTCCCACTTATAGAGGAAATGACTATATTTGAATTTAAATTAACATATTAGATACCTAATCTTAAGAAATTATGAGCATTATTTTAATATTGACATGGTTATCCTGGAGAGCGAATTCTAAACCATTCGAAGAGCTATCTATATGCTTTTTATGTTTATCTCCTCAAGCTGTCCTCACATTAAAAAACCAGTGTTGATCTGCCTGTGCTGTGCTTCCATTATTCATTCTTTGTTTGGTGAGAATTCATTTTACATGTTGAGTGTGTATGTGTGTGTAAGTAATAAAGGCTTGGAAAAAACCTTTTCCAATATAGATCTTATAGTATTACAACCTTTAGTAACCATGTCACATTTTAAATATCCTAATTTAAATATCCTTTTATCTGTAAACATGCTTTTAAAACATGTACATGAATAAAAAGACGAGATTGCAATATTTTTAAAGCTTAATTCATTTTTATGGATGGTCTTAAATCAGTTTTTAAGATTAGGTACTTGAATTCCCTTTTGAGCTTGTAGTGGTCCCAGGATCCTACTTCTGTACAACAAAATCCTGTTATAGTGTTGGTTGATATTGGTATAAAAATATTCCACTAACTTTATAGGAATAATAAGAGAAGGCATTGAAATATTAGTACTTTCAAAAGGATAGGATATGTATTTTTAACATCTCCTGAAATAACTTATAATGTCATTGTATAACCATGTTCAACTTATTTGATAGGAGAAAGGGGGGGGGAAAGATTCTATAATATCTTATCTGTGATTCATAAACATAAATAGTAGATTGACATTTGAAGATATTTTGGCGTATTCTTAGTGTTTTTGGTTAAAAATTTTGAGTGTTCTACTTATTCACGGAAATGAAATGGAACGATACTGTGCATCTCTTAGGGAAATTAAAACTCTCTGTTTTGCTCTTTTGGAACTGAAGCTGCAATTTCTGCACCTGTTGCAAGAGATTAATTGAGGCTAATCATTAAAAGATCAGAACTGAACCATTACAATATTTAGGACATTAATTGAATCAGACATTTTATAATGAAAATTAGGAAATGTGAAATATTAATTCAGAAATGTCCTTCTATGTAATTTACTTTTCTTCTCTTTTTATCTTCTGGTCTTTTTGGCAGGCTACGTCCAAGCCTCAAAGAGAGACAAAAAGTTTTTTGCTTGCGCCCCGAATGCCTCCTATGCAGCTCTGTGCGAGTGTCTCCGGCGCGTGTTCATCTACCGGCAGCCTGCTCCCATGTCCACTGTCCTTTACAACAGAAAGGAAGGCAGGCAAGTCGGCCAGGTTGCTAAGCAGCAAGTAGCAAGCCTAGAAACCAGTGAGCCTATTTTAGGTTTTCAAGCAACAAACGAGAGATTATTTGTTCTCACTACCAAAAACCTCTTTTTAATAAAGATAAATACTGAGAATTAATTACTCCAGCATATTGGTTCTTTGTTTTGAAAATGTATTCAATAATAGATCGAGGGCTTGGCAGTTATATTTCATGGTAGTTAGAGAGCTGGGCTGTAGCCTGTTAAGTTTTACTGTATTACGCACACATATCTTGTACAATTTTTTAAAAGAACTTTTTAAAAGATCTTAGAAATCTTTTGAAAGAGATTATGATTCTGTAAAAATTGTAGTGGGCTATGTATGGAATGAAGAAAGTTTTGTGAAAATTGGCTTCTGTAAAAATGTAGAACAAGCATTAGCAAGTGTCGTTATTTTTAAAAAGTAAAACTGAAAGCTCATCCTTTGTATAAAAGATAAAGAATTCATTGTTAAGAAAATATTGTCTGCTCTCTGTTTGTTGATACAGTGCTAAGTTCTATACCCATATAATAACATTGGATTACGTTAAAATGAAAGGTAATGCAAAAGTTTGCATATTCCAAGTCAACAGGAAGGAAAAAAACCAACAACTACCTGGTAATCGTTGTTAATTTTTTCTCTTTATTTGACTTAATGAAGTACTTCTCTGTTATGGCTCAGCTTTATCAATAGTATTATTTGTTTTTCAAATTCTTCCAAATAAATAATTGTAAAGAATAGTTGAGATAGAAGGGGAAACACAGGCATACAGAAGGTCTAATAGTCTTTAAATTTGCTAAGAGACCTTGTTTGCCAATTAATGACAGCTTTATTTACTTTTTATCTTTTTTTTTATGCCAGTGGACATAGAGTGAGGCTTCTCCAACCATAGCTTTTTATTGCTGTGTAACAAATCCCCTCAAAACTCAGTGGTTTGAAACATTGACATTTTATTTCTCATAATTTAATGAGTTGTCTGGACAGTTCTGGGTTGGATAACTGCGTATCTCGGCTCTCCTTGGCATTGCACCCTCTAGCACGCTAGACTGGGCTTCTCCTGACAGAAGGACCATTTCAGGAGACATGCTTTGATGCGTTAGAGCTGTGCACGCCTCTTATTCCATCTTACTTACTGTTGTCCCACTGGACATAGCAATTACAGGGCCAAGCCTAGAATTAGTGTGGGAGGGAATTAGCTAAGGACACAAATACTAAGAAGTCTGATTCATTGAGGAACATTAGTGTTGTATTCCACCATACAAAGACATTACAGTTTTTCCTTGCAGTTTGAACAGAATAATTCTATTTATACATTAACTACTTTTTTGCTACAAATGTTACTTTCTCATACTTATATTGCTTTCCCAGATTTCTTTTGGTTTCCATTAATCTGGAAAATGCTTTACTTTTTATACCATGTGTACTTGAGTGGTATCCACTTCTTAAGCCACATGCCTCTGATAACTCTATGAACTTGGAGAAATGATGATAATTCTAGAAAGGCTTCAGGCCCTGTGTTCATAGGGTCGCTATGAGTCATGTTCAGTTCAACAGCAATAAACAACAACAACAACAAATATATATATATATAAGGTTGATTTTCTTCATAGGGTCGCTATGAGTCATGTTCAGTTCAACAGCAATAAACAACAACAACAAAAAATATATATATATATAAGGTTGATTTTCTTTTTTAATAAGGTGGTTAAGGCAGAAAATACAGAAAAGAGATTAAAGGTAGAGATTCTGTTTAATATATCTCACCTAGTAGGTTAAATATTAGACTGGAAAAAGAGAGAAAAATAAGTTTGAGAGGCAAAGAAGGGTTATATTCATGTTCTGAACTGTCAGAATTTAATTTCCTTCTCTTTAAAGAATTAACTGTGATGTTAGATAACAAGTTGGGATGATTCTGAGATCTGATAATAAGGGTAATTGGTTGAACAAAAAAATTTTATCTGAAGAACTTTTTTGTGTCACAATAAAAGAAACATCATGAAACAACACACTATTTAGCTAATTACCTAGTGAAAACCTTTATTATGTGAAAGAAGATTTAAATTTTTAAAAAAATCATAAATACTCCCTTAGGGAATGTAATAAGAAAAATGCAGAATCATATGCTGCTTAATTGATATATGACTGTGCACATATGCAGATTTTCAGATAACAATGAATTTTCTTTCCTTTATAAATGAGAATTTATAAAAGATGTATGGTAATAATAAAGTGTTGTTCTACATATTAAAACTTATTTAACCATTTTTATTAAGCATCAGTTATATACCACAATCTATTGGATAATGCAGTGAAGATTAACAAGAGCTACATTCTACTACTAATCTTCAGATAAAATTTCTCTTTGGTGTTAAAGAGGGAGGTAGATATAGTCACTGGTTCTGTCACCAGAATTTCAAGTTTGGAACCCTAGAGTACACGGTATTTTTGCAATATGAGGCAGAAGTGTTGCCAATTAGAACAGACCATAAGATGATTTTAAGACATGAAAATTATCAAATACTGTTCTATAGTTAAAAATCATAGAGAAAGTACTTGTTTAGCTCATCAATGTGCAGGAATTGTAACACTTTATTTATAATTCTGTACAAATAAGAACAAATGTTAAGGTACATATGCAAGTGGTTCTAATATAATAAAGCAAAACTAATTTTTATAACCAGGGAGCTCTGGTGGCATGGTCTACATAGAGGTAGACTGCTCACTCAAAGACTGTGCTTCTCTGGTGGTTGGAATCCTCGAGCCACTCAGCAGAAGAGAGAGAGAGAGAAGGGCAGTCTCCTCATGAGCTGTTTACAGCCTTTGAAACCTGCTGGAGGGTCAGCTTTGAGTCGGAACCAATCCGATGACAGAGAAACACTGTACCACAGTCAACATTTTTGGCACCAGGAGTCAGTAAATCAAAAGATAAATTGCATTAGGAAAATCTGCTGCAGAGTGCTGAAGAGCAAAAACTAAGATGCACCTGATACCTGAGGCCATGGTCTTCACAGTTACTTGCCATCCATCAGAGAGCTGGACAGTGACTAAAGATGACAGAAGAAGAATTGATGCCTTTGAGTTGTGGTGCTGGAGAAGAGTCTTGAACATACCATGTACTACCAAGAGAAATAACAAGTCTGTCCTAGAGAGGGTCAAACCAAGCTGCTCCTGGGAGACAAGGATTTTGAAGCTCTGTCTCACATACTGTGGGACAAGAGGAACCAGTCCTTGGAGAAGGACATCATGATTGGAAGGGTGGAGGGACAGTGCAGGAGAAGAAGACCCCAGATGATACGGACTAACACAGTAACTGGAGTAATGAGGACAGATGTGTCAGAGGCAATGAGATTAGCTCAGGATAGACCAGGGTTCACAGCTATTGTGCATAGGATCACTGTGAATCATAGGCAACTCGACAACACTTAACAAATATTCATTAGTTACCTCCCAGTACTGAGCTTGTTTTATTTGTAATGTAATAGTGATTGAGTTAGTGAAATTTAGACCTAATAATGGCTATAGCATAAATAAGAAGCCCTGATGATACAAAAGTTGCTAGTTCAATTCCCGAGCTGCTCTTCGGGGAAAAAGAAGTGATAGCTTCTGTATAGCTTTTGCAGCCTTTGAAACAGTATGAGACAATTCTGTTTTGCCATGTTGTGTCTCTGTTTGTTCAAATTAAAGTGAATATACCAATAAGAAGTGAACCTTTCTAAAATTACCATAAAAGAATAAAGGTACAAAAGCAACTAAGTTAAGAAGTATCCAACTAGCTAAAGTTGTATTTTGGTGACATAGTGGTAGAGTTATGCTGCCAACCCAAAGGCACATGGTTCTAATTCACCAGCTGCTCTGCAGGAGAAAGGTGGGCAGTCTCCTCTTTGCTGTTGACAGCCTCTGAAAAGCCACTGGAGGGCCAGCTATACTTTGGTTCTGACTCAACGGTACATAACAACAATTGAAACTATAAAGCATATTCATATAGTTTACTTTTACTTACCTATTAGAAGAAAAAGTTCCTAATCTCTAGGTTCAAAAGTTTTTGTAAAACTCAGAAAACAAAAATAAAAGGGCAATGATTGATGCATTGAACCTAATCAAAGTATAAAATATCATATGATCTGGCTCCATTGACAATGTTAAAAGACATTGACAGAAGATAGTATTCATAATTAATGATGTGTAAAACCCATAATATAAAAAGAACTGTGGTTTAATAATAAAAAATATAATAGAAAAAGACAAAATATAAGACCAATCAACTCATATATAAGGAAATACAGATGCCCAGTAAACTTTAGAAAATTTACTCTATCAAATAAATGAGTAATTGATAATCCTTGTAATAAATATTGGCCAGATTATTGGAATACCATACATTAGTATTTATGAGAAGTCTTTTCTAAACCCTCTTTATAAAAGGCCTGTAGACCCTTGTTACATTCAGTCATTAAGTAAGCTTTTATTACTTCCTAATGAAAGATGGAGAGAGTTAATAAATTGTGACATTGCAGCAAGTTATACCAGGATTGGTGGACTATTTTTCCAAATATTTTTATGTTGGATTCATTATCAGGCATATCATTCTGAGGTTTTTCTGCATGCATTTTTCTCCAGCTCACTGGCCCAGGCATGTTTTCATGATGGTTAGAAGAAAAGCAATGCAAGCATGGTTGCAGCACTAGCATTTTTAATGCTTCTGCTGGTCACATTTTCTGTTATATTGATCAAAAGTAGAGTCACATTGATGATTCCAGAGGTGGAATTGGAGAACCTTGCAATATGTACATGGCAGAGAACATGGGTACAGGAAAAATGAAGAATTGGGACCATTTTTTACATCTGTCATGTGCATTCCCACTGTTTTATCAGTGGCATATAGATTTTCCCCTCCTACTTGATCCACAAGAAGTTGTAATTGTATGACACTGCAAAAGGACGGGCTGCCCTTGGCCAGCAGTGACTTTGACTAGGGGCTGAGTGTTTAGGTAATTGTCCTTAGAGTGACTGGTGGAGTTGAATCACCAGAGAAGTACGGCTTTTGGTCTAGCAGTGCAGCTCTCTGTGGACTCCACAACCATGCATCCTGTTAACCAAGAGAAGATTGTATCCAAACCTTA